TATTTGCTCTAGCTCTGAAAAGTTACGTTGGCATTTTGATAGAAAATGTATTAAATCTATGTATCGGCTTTGGAAGTATAGCTACTTTGATTACATTGCTTCTGCCTAGCCAGCAGCAGGGGATATTCTTTCATTTTCTGACATCTTCAATTTCATTTGGATGCAAAGATCACTGTATAGATCTTTTACTTCCTTAGGTTAATGCCTAAGTGTTCAATGCTATTGTGTGAATGGTATTGTTTTCCTAATTTCTTTTTCTGTGATTTCATTATTAGTGTATAGGAATGTTACTGATTTTTGTGTTTATCTTGTATCCTGTTACAAGGCTGAACCCCATTATCCGTTTTAGGAGCTGTTTGGTGGACTTCTTTGAGTCTTGTAGGTACACGATCATGTCATCTTCAAACAATGATTCTTTTCATTTTGTTCTCCTACAATATTCCTTTCTATTTCTTTCTCTTGCCTAATTCCTCTGGCTAATGTTGCAAGGACTATGTTGAACAGGAATGGTAGTAATGGACATCTCTGTCTTTTTCCTGACTTTTGAAGGAAGGCTTTCACAGCCTTTCCCTATTTAATATGATCCTAATAGTAGGTAGGTCATAAAAGACTTTCATCATGTTGAAATAAGGACCTTCTATAATTGTTCTCTTTGGGCTTTTTAAAATGACCACAAATGCATGTTTGATTTTGTGAAGGGCTTTCTCTGCATCTATTGAGATCATTATGTGATTGTTGTCCCTCCTCCTATGTTATGCATTATATTTATTGATATGCATGTGTAGAACTATTCTTGCAACCCTGAGATCAAATCTGCTTGGTGTAACATGGTGTATCATCTTTTTGATGATCTGCTGCTATTTGCCAGTATTTTCCTAAGGACTTTTGTATCTATGTTGATTAAGAGAAAATGGGCTATAGTTCTCTTTTTTGGTTGAGTCTTTGTCTAGTTTTGGGATCAGAATGTTACCTTCTAAGAATGATTTTAGAAGTTCTCCTTTCTGCTCAATTTCATTAAAAAGTTTGAGGAGTATTGGTGTTAGGTATTCCCTGAAAAGTTCCTGCAGAATTTTGGTGTGAATCCATCAGGTCTTAGACTTTTCTCAGTTGGTAAGCTTTTTAAAAAAATTACTATTACTGCTTCAGTTTTATTACCAGTTATTGGACTGTTTAAGACTTTTAAGTCTTCTTGGTTCAGTTTTGGCAATTCATGTATGTGTAGGAACTTTTCATTTCTTTTGAATTCTCTAGTTGGTTGGTACATGTTTGTGAAGTAGTTGCTAATAATTTTCTGGATCTTGGTAGTGTCCATTGTGAACTTCTCTTCATTACTAATTGTACTAATTTGTGTCTTTTCTGGGTAAGACTGGCTAAGGGTCTGCCTATTTTATCTATTTTTTCAAAGAAATAGTACTTTGATTCACTGATTTTTTTTGTATTACTTTTTTAGTCTTCATTTCATTAATTTCTACTCTAATCTTTCTAATTTCCTTCCTTGTACAAGTTCTAGATTTTGGATTGTTCTTGCTTTTCTAAGACTGTAAGATATATTATTAGATTATTTACTTGGGGTTGTTCTGATTTTCCCATGTTTTATCTACAACTATAAACTACCTTTGTAGGACTGCTTTCACTGTGTCTCATAAGCATTGGTATATTGTACAGGTGTTATCATGTAATTCTAGGAACCGTCTTACTTCTTAATTTCCTCTGTGACCCATGATTACTCAAGAGTGTTCTGTTAATTTCCACACATTTGGAGTTTTTGTTTTTCTTTTGCTATTAATTTCTTGTTTCATTGCTTTGTGATCTGATAATATGAATGGTAAAATTACAATTCTCTATTCTGCTTTTTGTTCCTTTTTCTGTTTAAATCTGACTAGTTACTTGACACAAAAAGGTAGTTTTTAAATACTAAATGTTGTCTTTTCCTGATTTTAATACTTTAATTCATCCTTCACCTGCTAGAATCACAAATTTCTAGTAAACAAAACTGATCATATTTCTTCTTAGCTTAATTACTAATAAGAGCAGTGTAGGGGCTGGGGAGATGGCTCAGTGGAATGAGCACTTCCCTGGCAAGCGCAAGGGCCTGCGTTCAATCCCCAGTTCGGTGAACAAAATAAATAAATAAATAAATAAATAAATAAATAAATAAATAAATAAATAACAGCAGTGTAATGAGCATACTACATATATTATCTCATTTAACTCTACAATCCTATGAAGTGCTGTTACTGATCCTCATCTTAGAGGTAAGGATATGATGACACAGAAGATTAAATAAATTATCTAGTTTATATAGGGTATGACAAATTCAAGCTCTGGACCCAGACAAACTAATCCCTGTATCCACGCACTTAAGCACGAATTGATTACGCTTTCCTATTCTTCCTTGGATTTGAACATAGTCCTTTCTAATCTGAAATCCCTGCAAATTCTTATTTATCTTTCTTCCCAGGTATAATGGGCATGATTTCTTTGTTTTCTATTCTATTCTATGGTTCTTTTTTCTTTTTTTTTTCCTATGGTTCTTTGATCTTCATCTTTTATGACTTTTTTGAAGGGTATCACCCATTTAGTTTATGTAATGTGTTTTATTTTGGGTTTGTTTGGTGCTTCCTCATTATTAACTCAGGCTATGAATTTTTGGCATGAATACCAGATAGCTGATATATCCTCAGTGCTTCAGATCAGGAGAAACATGAGACCTTGTTGTCCTTTTACTGGTGATGCTAACTTTGTTCACAAATTTCTCCATGCAGTTTTCCTCATATGATATACATACCATGAATTCATATTAATACTTACAACTTCAATTTAATTACACGAAGATCACCTTAGAAATCTAGTTTATTTGTTTAATAGTTTCTTATAAAACACATTTCAACTATCTGGAAAATCCTATTTGATATGGTGATAGGGTGGAGGTCAAACCCAGGGCCTTGCATATTCCAAGTACATATGCTTTACCACTGAACTACAACCCTAAACTTTTTCCTAAAGTTCAATCTCCAGAACTAAAACATAAACCACAGTGGATGTGAATCAACTTGTTTTTCATTCCCCCTTATATATCAGCAAATATTATTGCTATAGACACAGAAAAAAATATTTGTCACTGGAAAATCATGGATATTGCAGCAGCAGACATTATATTATCAAATAGATCTAAAACACAAAATGGAAAATTGATAGCTATAAACCTGTAAGAATTAACCCAAAATTTTCAAATTTTGTGGAAATGACCTGAGTTCAAATTACAGTAAAGAAGAAAGTGATAATGTCTTTTCTAGAGCATCACTTTAGCACACTTGCTTCCAGTTGGCCTGGAGAAAAGCAAGGTCCAACAAGGATATGTATTTTATTTTAATAGATTTGTTAGATGATTACTGTATAGCTTGAGTTTAAAAAGTTACAGGAGTACTTGTTCACATAAGTACACAATATCTTAAAATTACAGGCTTCTGACACTCCTTAAAATATGCTTAGTGACTTATTTATGTTAGCTAGTTTGTTAAAAGAATGATGACGGGTTGGGGAGATGGCTCAGTGGAATAAGTGCTTCCCTGGCAAGCGCAAGGGCCTGAGTTCATTCCCTGGTTCCGTAAAAAAAAAAAAAAAAAAAAGAATGATAACAGGAGTCAGATATATCTAGGTTACAATCTTGGTTTTGCTCCTTACTGTCATCCAGAGGCAATTTACTTAATACTTCTCAGGTCCTGTCCCTTAAAATGTGCACAATAATCCCTAATTTGTAGGACTTTTGGTAAGATTAGAAGTATGTGTACTAAAGAATACAGTACCATGCACATAGTTGCACTCAATTAATAAAAACTATATTTAAGGTCTGTCACTTGTTTCTACTTTGGATTTGTAATGTCATATACTTAACTCATCATTTCCTACCAAAGTTTCCTGTGTTTGCTTCCTTCAAGTAAGTAATTTATTACATCAAAAAATTTAGCTGAAAGCACAGACCTGCAATCCCAGCACTTGGGAAACAGAACTGTGGGTTTAATGCCAGTCTAAGTTACATCACAGCCTAGAAAAGATCAGCCTGGTAAAATTAAAAAACCCTTGAATAGTCCTTCAAATTATTTTAATAAATTTTTTGAGACTCTGCCTCAGAACAACAACAACAATTCCCAAAATTGTATTAAAATAAATTAAGGGGGCTGGGGAGATGGCTCAGTAGGATAAGTGCTTGACTGGCAAATGCAAGGATCTGAGTTCAATCCCTGGTTTCACCAAAAATAAATAAATAAATAAATAAATAAATAAATAAAATAAATTAAGGAGTGAAATTCAAGGATTTTACAGTTTGTCTTTTCTATA